AGGAGATCCAGAGATCTTGGCAAGCAACAGGTCCAAGGCTGGGTGCACCCTGGTCGGGATGCCAGTCCATCGCAGTCACAAACAAACAAAGATACGCACTCACTCACACTGGGGTCAGTTTTCCCAGAAGCCAATTAACCTACCAGTATGTCTTTACACTTTGAGAGGAAACTAGAATATCCAGAGGAAACCCACATAAACATGGGGAGAACATAAAAAGTCCATGCAAATTGCACCCCAGGTCTGGAATTGAACCCATGACCCCAGTTCTCCTTAATTTGTCAAGCATTGCTCAAAGAAATTATGATAATCTTCAAGAAACAGGTGATTTAGGGTAACTTATAAGAAAAACTGGATTGGTACCTTTAGCAACAGTGTTGGAGACATGTGTAACATTATTTCAATAAGAAGATTATTCAAAGAGGAAGACTACATTTTCTTGTTGGCCTTTCTGTAGTTGTAGGCATTACTTTGCACATCATATACACACAGTTGAAGACATCTGCAGATTCACAGGAATTAAAGTTAGATGTATGTCACTGGGCATGGTAACAGAAGTTAAAATGAAAGGTATTGTTGATTAGCACAATTTATAAACATTTAAAGTTAATTATTGAATGACATTGCTTCAGATATAGCGTTTTGATACTTACTGTAAATGTACAGTTGTACTTCTGGGTGAGAGGTGTGTTGTGCTCAGTCTGCCTTTCAACTCCATCACAGTAGGTACAGTTTTATCCTGCTGATGTTTGCACTGCATATAGTCCTTGTCAAAAGTTTTTATTATCTATTAAATGAGTATCAAAAAAACTTAAACATACCTTTTTATACATAAATGTATAAACTTTTGTTGACTGTAGTTTATTTCCAAAAGAATGGTGGTAACTTCATGCTCCTAAAGGTATTTCCATTTGAAGTAGTGGTTGTCAGCTCTTGATGTCTTGTGAAGGGCACCTTACTAGAGTTCAGTGAGTGATGGTGTCCTTCAAAGGTTTGTATGCTCGTGTATGGGGGGTGGAGGATTGGAGGAGGGGTAGGAGAGGCAGTTGTGCCTGGAATGAAGACCCCGTCGATTGGCATCTTTCCTCTCTTCCAGTTGGCAATCCTTCAGCTTGCTAGGGCTGTGGGGTTCAATTGGGAAGATGAAGTAAGCACCAGCCAGGGCTACAGCTTGATTTACGGCATTTATTTTTGGCATCTGGTAATCACATTTGCCCCCACGTTTTTTTTTCCCCCCCAAAGTTCTATTTGTGATGTGTAAATGTCTTTTCTCACCTAAAACTCAACAGATAACAGGCAAGTATTATTGTTATTCTTTGTCCTTCAAATATACAGTATGTCCCGGTTTCACATTTTCAGTAGCTTATGGCATTTAAAGCAGGTTCTACAGTAGTTCAATATGGTTTTGATAATGCAAGATAGAAAACAAGATAGGCTAATGTTTTTTGTAACATTAATATCCTTCACTGGCATTTTTAGACATAACTCCGTTAATGAATAGATACTATTTAATCTATTCTTGGATAAATTATTTGGAAATGTTTTTAAAATATTTGTATTGCGCCCTAGATGGATGCTAGTTGCAGTCAAAATACGCATCTGGATCCAGACATAATTGGATTGAATCTGCATTGTCACTAGTTGACTATGGATTGAGATTCTCCAATTGATGGTGTACAATTGTCAGATTACCATAGAGGCTTGCTTCAAGGAAGTTATTTTACATAGAAGGATGAGTGGCAGAGGTGTGGGTGGATAGGTTTATGGGACAAAAAGTGTAATCCAGAGAGGATAAGAAGTCTAGTATTACATTTTTTTCTTCTCTGTAAGCTATGTTACCATTTAACAGCAGGAAGCTTGGGAGAAGCACGTTCCACATCCAGCCGGTTCATGTGGCTTGACACAGAGCATTTGTGAGCTTTATAGGGGAACTGCAACACTATTTTTATATTTTGGGATTAGAAAGAATCAGCATTAATGAGTGCATTTCAAACCACAGTTACTGTAAATTCAAATTTAACCTCCAATTGACTTTACAAAATAGACAAAATTTACAGTGCAGAGCAGGCTCTCAACTTCAAGACGGTTTTACCAAAAAATGGAACTTACTTTGCAGGTAGATCACGTTGGAAAATTTCTGCGGAGAAATGTCTGCTGCACAAGCCATACTTATTCGCTCGTACATTGCATTACTTTAGTCATCATGGTAACTAGTGACCACGAAGGGCTGTGTCATGTCACAACTCTCACTCCTGCCCATGATGAGACCTGGTTTTGCGACAACACGTTTATGGTTTTTGTACTTTAAAATACTGTATGTGCAATTTTTCTATACCGTCAGTGAATTTATTTTGTTACTGAGATTTAATAACCTGGTCTGAGAAATTGGGACTGCATTTCCCCTTTAAATGGGAAATTTTAAGTGGCAAAAGTCACATCACAATTATTTAGCTGCAAATAATGTGGAGTAAAAGTGTAGCTTTACACGTTTTTGAGACAGGTATGTACACTGCTCAGCCCTCCCATGCTAGTACAAGGCTTGTAGTTATGTGTTGAGTTTTTTGGTAACCACATAATTGGTCCCAAATTCAAGATCTGAAGAGTATTTTTTTTAAATATTGAAGATAGTTTTTCAGGCTTTAAAAAAAATATGCTCTACATCTGTTACTGAGTCGGGAAACTTACTCTGCTGAATTACCAGTATTATCAGAGCCTCCTAGGGGTGTGTGAAAGTGGTTTTGAAATTGATATTTGGAATAAATTCTCTTTACTATGCCACATGACCATAAGCCTGGTAGAGATTACTATTCTTAAGAACTAAAATAAATAATATTTCAATGTGCTGAAATGATCAAGTAATGACTAAGTTACTGAAACAATTAAGTAATGTCAGATGACATTCATTCTATTTCAAGCCTATTTTGTCATGTATCATTTGTAAGAGTTTACTTAAAATCTCAGGTGTTGTTTTTCAGTGAACCTATGTTCATATGTGCTAAAAGTAATGTGACAATTGGACAGAATCAATTATTAAATATTGAACACATTTTCAATCAAGCTGGGTAATGTGCAGCATCTGGTGTAGCTATAGTCATATTTAGTGCCACTGTAAAACCACAGAACATTTTTGCAAAATTCATAGCAATTACATTGTAGGTAGTGTCATTTAGATAGTATCAGAACCTTTTTTAATTTAACCACAAAGCAAAGATTATTACCTTAAATAGTATAAAATGTTTACAAAAATGCAAACAAATAGAATTCTTACAAGTCAAAATCTTGACCAATTAAAATAAACATAAAATCTCGGCTTTAACTTCTTTATTTTTTTTTATTTAAACTGAACAGCATAATCATTTTACTTGTTTTTACATTCGTGGTTCAAAAATATGTCCATGTGCTGAAACAGCAGTTTAGCATCAGCAGTGTTGGAGACAATCTAGTCCCGATTGTCAAGTTTTATGAAGTTGGAAGAGCATGACTCCACAAATCTCAATGACTGATGGATATTTTTACTTGCTGTAAAACGTTTTGCTGTCCAGCTTTTCAAGCAGGATTTTAGCGCAAGCAAGCTTCTGTGAGATCAAAGTTTATATAGTTTTGCTTCTGCATTTTCAATAGTATTTCAAAACAAGGAGCAAAGTACCAAAGTCTTTTAGAGCTTCAGGTAAAATGTTAGATGGAGTTTCAGCCTTTCTCTTTCGTTGATGACCTGAATTTGGATACTGAGCACAAAAGCATTTTCAGTAGTGACCTGATATTGACAGTAATTAATGATACACGTCTAACCATTCAAAAATAACCCCACGTGATTTTTAGGGCTTCTAGTTAAAATGTGTTTGCATAAATTTGCACACAAGGCTACATTGGCTGATTTTAAAAAAATAATGACAAAGTAAAATTTGTGTGTGATCTGTCGCATGAGGTTAGAATTATCCTTTGTTACAATTTGGTGAGGACCAGATGAAGGCCAGATATGTCTTGATATGTAAAACCCATAGGGTCATTATGGGGTGTGCTTTCTTTTCACTGTATAGATGACATAGAACAAAGTGTGACTAGACAGTCAGATTTGCTCACAAGACAAATCTCACGGTAATAGCTAACAGCCTATGTGATTGGCAAATAGTCTGTAATTAACTCCAAAACAGTTATCCTGAAATTGTAGAACACACTTGTCAGATCACACATGGCGTACAACTTGTAGTTCTGGCCTGTTCTTTACAAATGCGGTTCAGAATCATTGGAGAAACGTCAGAAAATAGCATAGATTGCTTCTAGGGCTTAGCTTCAAATTGGTAGGACTCTGGGAAAAAAAAAAAACATTTGGGAAGAGACTTCATTTATGTTTTCTGAATTTTAAAGGGAATTGGTAGGATTGATCCCAAGAGTGATTTCTAGTTAATTGTGAATTGTGATATAATGTACTGGGAAACTTGTTTAGAATTCTGTTACACACTAATTTTAGATAGCAGGTTTTTACAGAGGTTTCAATGCACAGGGACAATGAATGATTGTGTCTGTTCTCCACCTCCTCGATTTTACATTTTTCAGGAAATGAAGCTTATGTTGAGTTAATGCTAGCAGTACCACCATTGAAAGTATCCTTAGAGAATACATAAATGTTGTCCTTGTGTCAAGCGTGTGACTAATAAAATCTATCCTGAAAAACTGAGGACAAAATCAGCAAATGGTGCAATTATTATACTTCATAAGTTAGTAATTAAAAAAAAAGTGATACAGCAAAGGAGATAGTGTTTAATATTGGGGACATAAGATGCAAAAACTGTACAAATTGAGCTGCGTTTATTAACAGACTACGGATTATGTATAAGGCGTCCAAATGCTGTAAAAGTGATGTTGATTAATTTATGACTCTGCTTTAAAAAAAATGGGAAAAATCACTCAGTCCAGAAGTAGACTGTTCCTTTTGAGAACAGGGACGACTCCCCAAAAAATTCCCATTTGCAACCGTTCACCTTTCTCTTGTTTTTCTTAAGGCAATGAATCGGCAGGCCTTTTTGGAAGAGGCGTACGAGAGCTGCATGCGGGAGCTGGAGCAGCTATTGCACCACTGTAGTGTGTCAGGCCTGCGGACGGCAGGTGAGTGTTTGAAGGCAGGGGATGACAGATGCTTCTGTCAGGGTTCCAAGAGTCGCCGCTTTGTGGGAATAGTGCAGATGCCTTGGCTATCCACCCATGCCCTCCCCTGGCTCTCGACAGGCTCTGATTTGATGACAAGACAGGAGCAGTCCTCGCAGCGGTGGAGTGACCAAACTGGCTTGGAGAGGGTGATGGAGTGGGGCCCTGCTGTTGTCAGCCCCCAGTTTGATTTATAAATGCCAGGGTCAGTGTGGTAGGACAGGGAAAGGGCTCTCTTGCTGGGCTGTAAATCCAGCTGAGACCGCGGTCCGTACAGTCTGCCTGCAAGGGGAGCAGATGTTTTACTTGGAGTGAGCCAAATTTTGACGCAACCTTCAGCAACTTGGAGGTCAGGTATTCAATAAGGGTTGTGCAGGACATTTCTGAAGCAACGGCTTCAACTTTGATGCAACAACATATTAATTATGTGACTAGACCTAAGGTTGAGGTTTTCAGTGAAACATCCCATCCTACTGATGTGTGTTTCTGTATGGTGCTGAGAGGAGACAGGGAAGAGGTAGCCTAAATATAGGTGCCATTAAATCCAAACAATTTACAGCATGTTCATTCCAAACACAGGAGAGAATTTAATTTTGATTTTTTAATATAGCCAGTATGTAAAGCATTTAGTATTTTTTTGTATGTCTACATCACTATGTCACATTACATTGAGAAACAAACTTTATATAAGTCTTTCTAATTATTATTGTTCTACTTATTTTTAACTCCTACTTTTTTCAGGTGTTAATTTACTAATCCTATTTATGTCTCCAGAGGGTATTTCAGACTGTACTTGCTTCTGCAGTATAGTTGCAAATCATTGTGTGAAAATTGATAAATTAGCTTCCTTTTCAAACTAACTATAACCAGCTGCAGCACAGCAGGCCGGGATGACAGAAAGAAAACTTTTGTTTGGAAGCTGGATGAGGACTTGTATAAAGTATGAAATCCAGCAACTATTTTTGACATTTTCTGCTGCACTTGATAATCCTTTTCTGTGTAAATAAAAGAAAATGAATTTTGAATAAAGCTAAGAGTAGAAACTCAAATAACCACAAAGAAATAATACTTGTTACTGCAAAGGTGATTATAATCAATGTACGTTTCCATACAATTTAAGCCTTTTGTTTTAGTATAACAGATCACTGGAGTAAACAAAAAGAGCTTTCAGATTGTTTCTACCAGTTACTGGACTCTATCTGTATGTTCTGATTTTTGCTTCATCTAAGTTCTTTTTTGTGGAATAATTCATTTAAGTGTTCTAGTTGAGGCACATTTTAAAATGTACTCTTTAAATATTAAGAGATTTGTAATCATTTCAACCCTTTAACATGAACTGCAATTAATTCAACAAATAAATGCATGAAAATGAAAATTCTATTTGGCATCCAGCTCAATGTTGCAAAAACCTTGTAGTAGTTAATTTCACTCCAAATGTAGTTATTTGTAGTTTTGGTTTTGTATGTTGTAAAGGTGAATGTTTTGCATTATTGCTATTTACCACAACTTGTTTGTGTTGTGACCCTCTTTAAAGATGTTAATGGAAACAGAATGCATGAAGGCAACAATCTAGTATTTCCTCATTTCAGAAACTCATCAGTGATACTTGCACTTCAATTGAGAACTGAATCCAGTCATTTTTAGTCTAAAATGGCTTTGTTTATTCCTTATTAAGAAGCATATATAGTTAATAATGCTATCTTCACAACCTTAATATATTGCACAAGAAACCAAAATCTTTTTACTTTTAAAAGTAAGTTGACTGCTTTGTAGAAGGAAGTCATCATTCACATGTCAGAAGTATACCTGAAGGATATTAAAAATTAATAGCCTTTTTAGTATATTCATTTTATATTGTTAACCATTTTATTTGCATACAAATAGGTAAAAGATAAATGTTTATTATCTTATAAAAGTATGTTATGTGTTAGTTTATTTTATCTACATATATGACACATCTTGATTAATGTTTAAGCAATAATATTGAGTTGTTCATTATTGGCATTTACTTTTTTTTTTTGCTTTCACTTGAGTCTCCAGTTAAAATGTTCTTACTTGCCACACACCTGTAACACTGGGGTGTGTTAGAGTGCTTTGCAGTAGAAATAAATTATGTAGAAGGTATTCTTAAGTAAAGTTTCAGAATTTCTCTTCATTAATTAGAAATCGTAATACAATAGGTATTATTACATTTTATCCTTGAAATCTTCTTTGAAACACCAATTTATATTTCTCCTGGATTATTTAAAGTTCTTTGGTTTTGTGTTTTTTTACATTAACCTGTTTTAACAAATACCTTCCCAATATAGTCTAGATCATTTCTGTCTAATTTGAGTCTTATCTGGAAAGTGTGCGGGAGAAAAAAATACATCTGATTTAGGTGTTACCATTTAATTGCCCCTTTCACTTGACAAAATTTCAGTTTGTATGGTACAGTATTTGTTTTTGTCCATTTAATGAAAAAAAGGAAAGTGATATCATTGGAAAATATGGAAATATGCGAGTTCTTTTGCTGCTGGTAGACATCTCTGCTTTTGAAAAGTGGTGTAAGTGGCTTAACGACCATTGGTTATAATGGTCTGTTCAAAATCTGATATTTTAATAGAATTATATTTTCTTTCATCATGGTAATCAACCTATTTAGTAAGAAAATAATGTGCCCCTCACCTGGAACTTCATGAGCAAATGTAGCAAGCTTTTTTTAACCTTTTTTCAACCTTTGCATTGATTTGTGAAAAGGAAGACAAGTGGATTATGAACTGAGCAAGCCTGAAGACCCAGCTTAATGTCTTTTCCTGTGTTTCGCAAACAGGATTGACTATATGGGAAAACAAAATCTGGGGTTTATAGTTGGAGTAAAGAATAAAGGAACTTGAAAGTAGAGGTTGGATGGGAAGCAGGGAAAAAAGACTCTTCGTTTAGGAGCAGGAAATTTCGAGAGCAGCCAAGAAATTTTATTAAGTAAGCTTCTGAGTTGCAACAACGTCAGGGATTGAGACATTAAACCTTAATGGGGGAGTATGATCAAAGAGCTCTTGGATTTCAACTTCGAAAGTGGTATTAGAAGAAACAGAAGTGGGTTTTAAAGGATAAATTCGAATGAAAATGTAAAATCGTCATGTTAGCTTTATAAAGGAGCTAGAATAAAAGGTGATCAGTAGATCATTATACACAAGGGAACAGGAGTAAATGCCAGCCTTGAATGTACTTCATCTTGATCAAAAACTGGCTGTTCATTCGTAGTTCAGAATACTCTGATCTGGCATGGCATGAATAGGCCCCATTTACACGTTTTCTTAATTGTATGAAAGCTTGTGTTGAAAATGAATAAGCTACATTTTGCTTAAACTCTTAAACAAGGTCTTCCATAAACTGTCCATTGAGGTGGTTTTTGTTCCAATTGAGCTTTTGCTTAAACGAATCCTTAATATTGCTATCCAGCTTAACTAGACCTTTTGTATTGCTTTCAAACAGTTGCAGCTTAGAAAGTACCTATTGTCTTAGCTTTTGGTTACACATTTTTATGATGTGCATACAATTAGAACATCTCATTAAACAAATCAACTGTTCAGTTAAAGCATTAAGAGCTTGGTAGAAATCAAACTCAGAAGGAGATGAGATACGTAGATTGTGGTGAACATAATGTTAGTAAAAAAAAACATAATTTCATTCTTTCCAGTGTAGTTCGTAACAATTAGTAAAATATATTTTGGACCATAAAGAAGCTGATTTATATAAGTCATTTTATATTCCATCAAAACAGCTGAAAATGGATCTTAAATATAAGCAGTCTTGATTCTTTTGACATATGCCATTAGATTGATAATTAAAGTAATATTCTCAGCTGTAAAGTTATTTTGGTATAGCAAGATTACATTCACTAAATATGTTCATGCTGTGTAATATCTGAACTTTTGTTGCTTTACTGTAGCCTGCTAGTTTTAACCTTGATATAAGTCTTATAATACTAGCTCTGAGAATTTTCATTACTAATTAGAAGGAACAATAATTTAGATCCAAGGATCTTTGCGTGGTCTTGTTAAATTTGTGTTTATTGAGTTATAGTCTAATTAAACCAGCCAGCCATTCTCATTCCTCTCCAACTTAAGTGTTGGTATGCCCTTGGAGTCCTCATATAAAAAAAAAACCAAAACATTTATTTGAATTGAACATGGTCAGAAAAAATGCCTGGGGTGTATTGGTATCAGGAGTGTAATGAGATATACTGTATGGTGTCTCATGTGATTTCATGATTTCACAGTGCTTCTACATCATATGACGCATGACTTTGGTGTGATACTCTATTGGGAGACTCTTGAGGTATTTGACATTTTGTTTTTCAGTTGAACCTAGAGACCAAGGAAAGCAGAGCCCCTCTGCTCTCCTGGAGAGCTTGAAGAGGACTTTGGTATATTACCAGGACACTCTGAACCAGACTGCTGAAGAGGTAACTATTCACACTTGACCCTCAAAAAAGCATCAACTGCTTGGTGAAACATAGCCTCTTACTCAAACTACTTGTGATCAAGAAGTTTTTTCCCCAATTAATTCCAAACTTGATATGTTTTGTTTTCTAGTGACAGTGCAGTTAACATGGCAAAATGTGGTTCTTGCATAAACCACAATGTTAACATGACCACCATTTTGTTCATGAGACTCAGACTGTCATTGTTCTGAAAATTGCTGCGCTGATAGACTTGACAGGTTTCATTGTGCTTAAACCTGTTACAGTGATAAATTTAAATACTACCACTTATTCGGCAAGACATGAACTCTTACATGTAATGTTTAAAGCTATTCTTCCTGAACTTCTTGTCAAATTAATTCCCAATTTGATATGTACCAATTTGTGGTTTATGTAAATACAGTACTATGCAATAGGTTTACTCACATAAACCAGGATAGCTGACCAACTACATTATTTTTTGTTGATACACATCCCATACAGCAGACAGCAGACTGCACTTGTTCAAGGGTTTCTTGGCCACATAATAGCAAGTTTGATGGGTGTGATTCTACTGGCAATACAGTTAGTGTTGTAAAAATGGGTTCCTGCTGAAACCAAGACAGCTGCCTGGGATTCTGTTCTCAAACTTCAAACAGCTGCTGTCTTAGAAACCAGTGCTTTGATTGAATTGAACCTTTGAAGCTTTCATCATCCTAAATCCTACTAAAGACCTCACCTCTTATATTTCTGCGAAACCTTTTAAGCTTACAACAATTTTTTAGGTCCCAACAGTTTGCTCCTATCCAACTCCATATCATTTTCAAAAACATTTTTGGCCGTTGAACTCCAGACTTGGTAGATAGAATTGTACTGCTGATGAAATACCAACATGAAAAAATAAGATTTGTACATGTACCAGTGACCTGGTTTTACCTAGTGTATGTACCACCTGACCACTGTTTTGTTGTCTTCTTGATGACGTTTCCTTTCCATAATAATTGCCAATCATTTCATGGTTTTTGTTAATATCTAAATATTGTGATATGGAGTAACTGTATAAACTAAGACACTTTTCTTGACTGCCTTTTTTTCTGAAAATCCATAATGCCTTAGTTTTGGCAGCCTATACACCACTTTGAATTGAAAGCAGTGTTCAAGACTAGAACCTACAGTACTATAGACTTGCACTTCACAGGTTGCAACAATACTTATTATAGCCATTGTGGGTCATCTTGTGTTTGGCAAATATGGATCCTAATGACCATGTGACTCTACAGACTGGTCCTATAGAAAAGAAAATTGGCCAGTTACCTTAAACGTACTAGGGTGGAACTTTGCTTGAGAGCCTTCAAAACTGCTTGTAGTTTTTTAGTTCAAACTGAAACTTTAAACCTAGGGGTATTGTCTCTTTTTGAAATGATGCTGAATTATAAATCAAAGCCAATGACAAAAAAAGCCTGTACTAATTAGGACTTGGCTCTTATGTTATTTTGAACTCGCGGTGTTGACTAAAGGGTGTGTTTTAATATGTGTTAGTTTATAATGGAAAGGAGTAAAAAGGGATTTCACTGGAGATCTTGCAAATTTGTCAACAAGTATGATCTTAATTTAAGTTTCATATCATGTTCTCTTTTTTAACAAGGCCATATAAATACCCTTTTATTTATTTTTTTTATTTTCTTCGGTCATTTGTTGCTTTAATGCTGAAGAGCTTGTTTTAAAATCTTTTATCTAAATTTTATGTGTATAAGCAGCAATTATTTTAATGACCTGTTCTGAAGGTCCAAAGAAATTCTCTTTAATGTTTTGTGTGGACATAATGGCTGCCCAGCATTTTTTTTGTGGCTTAGACAGAACACAGAAATACATTATTTGGGTGAATACAATTAAATTAATGTTACACCTTTGAATATCATAATTCAGTTATTTTAAAATATATTTGTGGGCCAAAATGTATACATTAAGTGATTTTTCAAAGTTTAAAAATAACAATTTTAAATGTACTTTAGCCCATCATCTACTACTTGTAAACCCCAAAAGTTTTCTTGCATTTGTTTTTATATGTTTCTTACCTAAATTTGGTCTTATTTGCTGCTTCTTCTTTTGTCCTCTGCCTGTCACTTTCTGAGGCTGCAAGAGAAACCAATTTATCACAGAAAATGGGAGGCCTTCAATTTGTGATAGTTTGCCTCAGTTAGCTGCTTCTTAATGAAAGGGCCATGTCCTGCTTACTCACGGGACTGAGAGGGGGCAACGAGCCCAGTTACAGCTAACTGAGGGATATAATTACCCCTCTATAGGCTGCAAGAAAGGCCTGAGTTGGCCCAGGAAGTAGCAGAATCGGTGGTTTAAGAATCTCCACTGAGGCTTAAGGAGGAGAGCCTGTGAGTAAGTTGGAACACGGTGCCCACAGCGAATTGTTACCAGTGAAGATGAATGTCACATGATCCGTGGCAGCACGGAAGGGTCGACTCAGCAGGCTTTGGCTACGAATTGTGCTTAGTGGAGGAAGTGTGCCAGAGACTGCAGTGGGACGACTATGGGGGTGGCTGGGAAGGGATGTAAAGGGAACAATCTGACAGAAAGAAGAATGAACTGTCAAGGAAAATAAATCACAAGCTGTTGAGGTCCCACAGATGACCTGCCACATGACTCCCTCGTAGGACAGTGACTGACTGACCCTGGAGTTGTGTCCTACTGTGCTGGCGACCATGGGGCACTTGAGTGACCTACACTGAGACACAAAAAGAAATAATAAACTGGGGCAGTGCTGGGTGTCCTTTTACAGTACGATAGATCTTTTAAAAAAAAATATATTCACTCAATAAGCTCTTTAATTTTGATTCCTTGAAGCAAGCTGATCCTTTCTTCTTTTTCTTGTACAATGTGTTTATTTTTGTATGACTAAGATTGTATAAAGGCTTATTTGCTTGTATTTCCAAATACAAATAATTATGATGTTATATATTTTAACCTTTTACATTTACTGTATGTACACTTTCATCCTTTCCTAGAAAGAAATTCAGTAATGTGTTTCTATATCAAGAATTAAAGAATGTAGCAATGGTTCGAATGTATTGAAGAACACTTGATTAATAATAACACAAAGAAGCACTAAAACAAAAGTTGTGCAATTTAGGCTGTATTAAACAATACCATTAATGAGCTATATTCTCAAAAGTATGGCAAATCTAGTTTCTTGTGTATTTTAATGTAATTGTTCGCAGAAAAGTGTTTTTGTTAACATCAGTTTTTTTCTCACAAAGATTGGTGTCAAAATTATTGGCACCCCTAAAGATTCATATAAATAAAATACAAATTAAATTAGCTTTAGTATTCTACTTTTTTATGTTCATCAGTCTTATGTAACTATACGTATTGTGTCCTTCCAAGGCTTACTGTTTCACTGGGCTACAGAAATGAGGCAAGACACATATAAAAACTTTATCATTCACCATCATGGGGCAGTGTAGTTTATTTTCATAAATCTGGCAATGGGAACACAAATCTCAATTTTAAATTTCAAAAAGCCATTATTTGGGAGTGCAATGTGTCTTTAATATTTTGACGATGCCTAAAACATCTTAACTTTTTCTGGAGAGAATTTCAAACAATCAGTGAAATCATCAAAGTAAACTTAAAAATCTTTTTAAGTTTTGTTAAATATTTAATTTTTACTGCACTTGTAACTCCTTGAGGCATGCAATTGAACTTATGAACGGTAAGTGAATATATGTAAGTGGTTTAAAGTTAGTCTTTAAATTCACAACTGAAAACCATTCTGATCCTGTTTATTCTAAATTAAGTAGAGCATAGGCATCTTTTATGGTCTACATGCTAAGCTTCCTGCAATCAACTAACTTGAAAACCCTATTTTTCTTCCAAGCTGTAAAACTGGATGTATTAAGAGATGCAGTTTCTCCAATTATGCTTACATGTAAATACTCCTGGTTTCCTGACAGCCTCATAGCCATGTGGGTGGATTGGACATGATCTATGTTTAAAAGGAGTCTCAACTTTAATCAATTTTAGTTTTGATACCTCTCAAGAATGGAACTTGTTCCAAGCAAACTTGTGGGATTTCTTCAGGTTTCTTTTTCAATTCTGGTCTTCCATCACTGAAATCAGAAGTGAAAGTGAGCTCTCTTTGTCTTCTCTTTTGTGTACCATTTACATCCGAAATACCATTCATCTTGACCTTGGCTTTCATATCCCATGCACTAAGGATTACATACTGTGGTACGTGACATTTTAGCAGTGGTATAATTGTCAGACAGGATGACATCATGGTTGTTCTAATTTGTAGGTCAGTTTATATGGTGGTGTATATATTTACTTATAATTATACTGTAAAGGATAAGCCGCCTGGTAAAAAAAAAAGATGAAGATGACAGTTCTACCTATCTGTACATTAATTTTAGTATGCTTTGTCTGGTAAGCATCATAACATGCTGACTTCCGATGTTCCGGTGACCTCTCCCTTCTTTCCACCCAAACTTGCTTGTTCTGATTCCTCTGAGACATCTTAAGTGTCTTTAGAATCTCCCTGAACCCCAAAAGAGCTGTTTTTTTCACAAAAGATTTCTATCTGAAAATGTTTCAAAACTACTCTCATAGTATATAGTGAGTACTTGTTCCTATGAGTATTGGCTACTCACTGGGCCCTGTCATCCATAGAATGTAAACTAGCTTTAGAGTTATGTAGAATACATAAGTCAGATGAAAGAAGGTTGTGAGGTGGAAGTAGTCAGACAATGAGTCAGATAGATACTGAGGTTCCAAGCCATGTGAAGCCTTTTAGGTGAGCAGGAAGATTTTGAAGTTGACTTGGAACCTGACAGGAAGCCAGTGCAAGGACTCTAGTACAGGCGTAGTGTAGTCGCCTGCATTCTGGCAGAATTCTGAACATATTGGAGTTTGTTCAGTGTGGAGTTACCTACTCCAGTGAGCAGGGAGTTGTAGTAATTAATTTTAGAAAAAATAAATGTGTTGGCGAGCCT